ATTTCATTGAAATTGTGCAAGACAAACCATACGCTGGTGGACATCGTCAGCCTTCCTTTTGATTGAGAGCCGCCTTGGAGTGGGGTTTTGCTCTGAGTGTATGGGGTAGGAATTAGACACTGTTCATTCAGAGACACGTTCTCACGTCGCAGCGGCTACCTATTCAATAAACTCGTATTCAATAGATTACAGAATTCATGCCAGAGAAAAACAAAGGGCAGCATCTTTTGTTTCGACCAACCTTGTCTGCTAGAGTAGATTTTCTAAGTTTTGCAGCATAGTTGCACATCATCTGTATGCCTTTTGCAGAAGTTACAAGACTAGCCAACTCAGCAGCTCGCCCATCCCTTTCGCTCTTGCATGCCAGAGCAAATAGTTTGATGAGTGACTGCAGATGGCTCGAAGCCAGCTCCTACAATGTACAGCAACGAATAACAATAACAGCGAAAACTATCGTTTATGATTTTGCAGAATGCTTTGATTTTGCAGAACGCTTTTCTTTCAACCTTACAAGTGGTACGTCGACTGGATGCTTCGCATATAAGTGCATACGAGGTGTTTCTTGCTTGTGTCGAAGAAAGTGAGGAAATGGAAATGAGTGGATCAGGCTAACGGATCAAAAGACGATGGAAGACAAAGGCTTTATTTTGGAAACGAGAGACGAATGAGAATCCGCAAGCAATAGGGGTGGTAACTAAGAATTGGTGACATCAAAAAATTGTTTCTGGGACAAGTACTCAAGAGAAAATAGTCGGGGTGGTCATGCATGAGCTTAATTGGTGCGCGAAGACTGGCAATCAGTGGAAGAGAGTATTTATGAAGAGAATGAGGTCGGCATGTGACTGGCGGGCTTTCACTGAATTAGTAAGTACCAACAAGAAAGATCCAGAAATTGAAGGAGCAACGGTGAGCAGCAGAACTCGGTATTCTGGATTATCTTTGGAAATCGCCATTCCGTAGTGACCTTCTTACACTGCGCACACACACAAGCTAGAGAATGGCCTAAACTTGTGAGAAAGCGATTTTCAAAAAATGCTCAACGGTAACAGGAGATGGTGCTATCTGAATGGCGACGGACAACAAAAGAAAAAAAGATAACAAGGTAAACAAAAACATTCACGTTTAAGCAACCAAACATTCCTAGATGCAATAAAATCTGAGAGAATCGCGCACGAAGTGCATGAAGCTGTAGAGGCGCTGCGATAGCAAACTACAAAAGAGGAATCAAAGACGAATAAAAACAGAAAGGAGAAATTAGAGTTAGACCGAAAAACTAAGTGGTTATGACACATGGCTAATGTAATGATGGATCAAATTCGATGTTTACTAATACGACGCAATACTCACCATAAGATCTGATGGGGATCCGGTTGAACGAACTTCGTTTTGCTGCAGTTCATTGATAAAAAGCTCCTGCTCTAATCTTGACTTGTCTGACTCCTTCAAAAAAGCAAAGAATTGTTCATTAAATTATGAAGTGAACACCTAATTGCTTTCACTCAATGCCTTGATCACCAATTTCCATCTTCTACTCATTTATGTTCTTGTAACGAAGAACAAATTCGCTCTCTAACCGGTGAGACGAATAACATAACTTTAAACATTTCCCAACCGAACTGGCTTCCAATGGAGCACCATACCAAGTGCTTACCCACATAACTATAATGTCTGTCTGAGATCATGTTCCCAAACAACTCGATAACTCAAAAAAAAATCCAGAAGAGCTGAATGAAACGAACCGGAGCGCAATACGGAAGCGTCCACGGAGCTATGAGAGGCGCCATTTTCACTGCAATCAAAGGGTACTTGCTACCCTTGCAATGGAGATACCTATAAACTCAATAGGTATACCAACTCAAATAAATGTTGAACAACTTTCTTACCTAATCTGATGTTGCCGTCCATCAACAACCGCGATCGGCCAAATAGCGTCTGATTTATTAGTCAATTCTGTGCCTCCGTTAAAGATTGGAACCCAAAAACCGGAAGGTGCTAGGAGGTTCACCGTATCTTAAAGAGCAACAAATCAACACTATGTATTACTGAAACCAGTTACTGATGATGCACAAAAATTGACGCATATCATCTCAGAACTATTCTCTGTCGTGAGTGGGAAGATGAGGTAGATGTAGTAAGATGGTGGAAACGAGAAAAAGTATGAGAGAAAACCACTACCAGCCAGGAGTGCACCGTCAGATGCGATATTCATGCACTGTGAATGAAAAAATCAACGACTCAAACTTACACGAGCTATCCATAGACACAAGTTGACCATGATTCGTGT